ACTTAATAAACTACAGTTTAACTAATATCAATAGTTTTTAATTTATGTGAAATTATTTATTTTTTTATTTTATAATATTATTAAATATATGACTTTAAACTTAAATAATATATATATTTTTTATGTAATAAATATTATAATATAATTCATATAATTTAATGGATTGATCTGTTAGTTAGTTAATAAACTATTGGATATTAAAAAATATATTTTTTAAATATACCATTAAAAATATGTTATATAAAAAACAATTAATAAATAATTTACATAAATATTTTTAAATAATTATTATTACAATAAAAATAATAATAATGATAATTGATTAGCAAATATATCCCATATTGTAAATGATTAATAATTTTTGATTGTCATTAATATAATGTTTGCTTATATATATAGTATATATATATAATTAATTTAACATTAAATTCAATTGAATTAATTATTATTAGTTTAGCATTATAATAATAATAATAATAATAAACAATTTGCATAATTTTATGTGTGTGTGTTAACTGGTATATTAAATATTATTTATAATGATTATAATAATAATAATAAATAATTTTATAGCATATTTAAAACATTATACAATATACAGGTATATATATATATAATGTGATTAAATGTGATCACAATTATAGACATTAACATAAAATAATTTCCCATTTTTTAAATAATAATAATAATACAAACACAGTATATAATTAATATCTAATTAAAAAAAAATCTGAACATAAAAATTATTATCATATTTATTATTGTCTATGAATTTTAACAGTTTATATACCGGTATATATATATATACAGTAAATAAATGTTAAAATTATAATTTTTTAGATAAAACAAAAAACAATAAAAATATAATATTATTTTAAATACAAACATAAACTGTATATTTTGATTATAGGGTTGACTAAAAAAACTAAAAGAGAGTTTATAAATATATTTAAAATGCAAAATAAAACTAAATGATTAAAAAAATAATAATAAATATTAATTGACTCAATTGTTTTTTATATACAACAACAACAAAAAAACAAAACAAAAATTAAAAACAAAAATTGTTTGTAATTTTAGTAATTTTAGTAATAAATAAATAAATTAAAAAATAGTAATATATTTTAATGGCAATTATTTTCAAATAAATCAAATATATATATATTATATATTATAACTGTATATATAATAAACATTAATAATCATAATTTATCGTTTAGTTGTTAACATTTAAAAATAAAATTAAAGTAATTTTTTTTACTAAAACTAAAATATTATTATAAATATATAAAAATTACTGTAAAATTATTTATTATAATTTTAAATATCACATAAAACTTACCCTTTTATATATATATATATATATATATATAAATTATAAAAATAAAAATAGCATATAATATAACTGCAGTTTAAATGTGAATCGCATATAAATATAACAAAAAATTAGTAAAACATTTATTTTATTTATAATATATTAAATGTTTAGCTATTCATTCATACAGTTTTTAAAAACATTACATAAATTATTCACATATTTTAGAAAATAATAAAAAAATATTTTATGAAATTAACTTATAATTTGAAAATAAGACAATTGTTTTGTTGAAAAATATATTAAAATAAAATTATAATTTCATAAATAAAAATAATAAATAAATAAATAATTGTTTAATTTGATTATTATTTTTGTCTTTAAAAATTATAGACACAAAAAAATAATATAATTGTTAAATAATTTCATTTTCATAGTATTAAAATAAATACTATAATAATAATAATAATAATAATAATAATAATAATAATAATAATAATAATAACAAAATTATTTTTATAACTTTCACTATTTCCTAATAAATAGCATAGATTTTAATTATTTACTAAATAAATAAAATAAATAATAAAAAAATATTTTTTATGTCAATTAGTTGCCATTTCCTAACAACAATAAAATTTTTTTAAAAATATTTATTAAATAAATTATTTTCTGCTGATTATTGGAAAATTAATTAGAAATAATAAAAAAATAATAGTAATTATTATTATTGTTATTATTAATATAATTAATCAAAAAATAAGACAAAATAATAAAGTTTTAATGATTTTAAGGAAAAATTGTTTACTTATTAATATTGTTATTATTTATGAGATTTAAAAGTTAAATAATTAAATAACGAATTAAATGTTTTTTAAAATAAAAGTGAGAAATATTTTTTTTTGTTTTAAATAATTATTTTATAATTATAATTAACAAAAAATTTTTTTGTTGAAGTAATTAATAATAATAATAATAAAAATAATAAATTTTTACTTACTTTTAGTTTCTCACACAAACAAAAAATGTCAAATAATTTAAAGTTTATTATACTTTTTTATGACCAAAAAAATAATAATATATAATATAATATAAATCTTATGATATTTTATGCAATACTTTATTATATAATAATAATAATAATAATAAAGTCAAATAACTTGTTGGACACCAAAAAAAAAATTACATACAATTTAATACAATACTAAATAAAAAAAAACTTTTACTTTCACTCAAACGTTACAACAATAATAATGATAATAAAAATTTTTATATTATAAAAAAACTTATATATATATATTATGTAACAATACTAACAATAATACAAGTGTTTAACAGACAATAAACAAAACAACTAAAAAAATAAATTTTTTAAATAAAGATTTCACTTTCAATTAAAAAATAAATTTTTTACATCAAAATATATAGTTTGATAACTAAAACATTTTTTTTGTGGATATATAATGGTATTATTTATTGTTATTATTTGTTTGTTATATAACTTTTGGGTCGGAAAAAACATCATTTAATAAATAATAAATGATTTTATTTTATATATATAAAAAAAAATAGTTGAATGAATCGTATGTATAGTGAAAGTACTCATCAAAAAAAAAATAAATCATTGTTGATGTGATTGTTATCTAAATTACTTGTATTTTATTTTATATATAATAATAATAATAATAATAATAATAAAATTTTTACACAAAAATACAATTAATAATACGATAACAACTTATAGATAATTAACTAAAAGTTTTTGTTTGTTATTTGAATTATTTGCTAATTTTTTTAAATATATTTTTTTAAATAATTATTTTTTTAATTTTCTATTCATTTAAAAAAAAATCAAAATATAGATATTTAAGATGATTATGAAACTAAATAACTAAATAAATACAAAACACTAACAAAAAAAATCATAATTTAAAAAAAATAATAGATTAAAAAAGTTGATTATAAAACAAATAGTTATAATAAAGTTTATTATTATTACTATTATTTTTTTTAGATCAAGGAATACATTGAAATAAATATTTAAAAAAAATTAATTTTTCGATTTAGTGATAATCCATATATTAATTAAATAAAATGAAATATTTATATATATATAATATAAACATAGTATTTATAGATTAATATTTTTTTTATTATTTGAAGGACAGGTATTACAAACATTGAGAGAGAGAGAGAGAGAGAGAGAGAGAGAGTACTAGTATTTTATGATGTGCTTAATTAAACAGCATTAATAAAAAAACTATTATAAATATAAAATGTTATAAATATATATATTATTGATATAAATTTTAGTTTTTATTTTTATTTTCATATCATTAGTAACTTAAAAACTATGGCACTGGGAGATAGTGAGAGAGGAATGGTAGCTGAGATACTATACATATAAAAAATAATATACATGTATAATATTATATATATATATAATATATCATATCATTTATATCATATTAATAATAATTGTCTCTAATTGTTTGCACACACATATGTATGTATTGCCAATACAATACAATTATGGCAAACAAACAAACAAACAAAAATAATTAATGATTTGTAAATTATTTTTTTTATATATATATATTTAGTAGTATAATATGTTTAAAAATATTTATTAATTTATAACTATCATATTAATCAATCAAATTTATTATCATTTATTACTATTAATAATATTATTTGTTGTAAATGTTTGTAAATTAAAACATAAAATACATATGTATTTCTATTTAGTTTATTATTATTAATAAAAATATTTATTTATTTTTTTTGTTGGTTTCCGTATAAAGTATATGAATAATACTGTAAAAAATGTGTATATATTATAATAATTGTATAATAAATTAATTGAACTAATAATCAAATAATAGCAATAATAATAATAATATTTATATAATGTATATTCAAGTATATAAATAATAATTAACTGATTGATTGATTAATAATAATAATAATAATAATATTTTTTATTATTATAATATAATAAATATTATAATATAAGGGTTTGCCTGAAAAAAAAATGTTTTCTAATAAAACAAACATTATATTTGTGTTATATATATATTATATTACATAATAATATTAAAGTAATAATAATAATAATTAATATGAAAACTATTTGGTATATTGTGAGACATCTAAAATCATAATTTCAAACTAATATATTTTAGAAATAATTTTTTTATTTTGTTATAAAAGTTTTTCAAAAGTTTTTTTTTTATATACAGAAAAATAAATAAAAAATTATTATTATTATTTCAATGCTATTTCATTCAATAAAATTATGATTGACATTACAAAAAATTATTTTAAAAATGTTTTTATTTTTCTAAAAAAAAAACTAATAATAAACTAATAATTAACAATTTGTGATAAAAAAAATTAATCAGTGATAATTTTTATTTAATATATATATATATTTATATATATGCTATAAATTAAAATAAAAAATTTGTTTGTTTTATAATTGTTAATAACATTTAAAAATATATATTATATTTTTAAAAAAATCATATTATTTTAATTATGTGATAAACTATTTAAATATATATTTAATTTTTTATATGCATATTAATAACCAATGATTTAATAATAATAATTATAATAATTTTTATTATAAAAAAAACTATGTATTTATTAATTAAACAATTTTATCATTGGTTTGATAACTGGCTATACTATTCAATACAGCATCCATATATTGATCCCTATATTTTAGACTACTGTCCCACCATCATAAACACAACTAATACCTGTGAACTAGTAGTTACCTATCCATGGCTATTGGCCATCACCACAATCATCATCATCTGTCTAGTCATACCTGTACTACTGTTTAGCTCATTATACTTGTCAACACTTGCACTGTATGTCTATCGGCACCGACAGCAGATAGTCATATCCACTGTCGACGGTAAAAGTGCCGATAAAAGTCCGGGACAGTGGTTGCTGACTGTACTGTTGATGCTATGGGACGCACACGGCTACTACTGGCACGGCTACCAAGTGATCGGCTGGGATCGTATACCCCGTACGGGGCCGGCACTACTGGTCTACTATCACGGCTGTCTACCCCTGGATCACATGTATTTGATGACCAAAGTTTTGTTAGGCAAACATCGGGTCATACACGCAGTCGGCGATTATTTCCTATTTATGATTCCCGGTTCCCGACTAGTGCTAAGCCGATTGCGGATACTTACGGGACCGCCCGGCGAATGTGTACGTCTACTCAATGCTGGCCACTTGTTGTCGATAGCACCGGGCGGTTGTCGTGAAGCCTTATTTGGCGACAATCGCTATCGACTCCTATGGAACAATCGCCAAGGGTTTGCTCGGGTAGCCCGTGAAGCCCGGGTACCGATAATACCCGTATTTACTGTCAATATTGGCGAATCGTTTCGATCGGTCAAATGGTGTCAATGGTTGCTGCGGCCACTGTACGAGTGGTCGCGGCTACCGCTGGTACCGTTTTACGGCGGTTTTCCCGTCAAACTGACTACATATGTAGGCGAACCCATACCGTACGATCCCGGGGTCAGTGTCGACCAGTTAGCCCTACGGACTAAACAGGCGGTCGAGCGTCTGATTCGGGAAAATCAGAGAATTCCCGGCAATATTTGGGACGCAATTTGTGATCGGTTTTAATGAAAGTCTAGTTTTTATTATTATAATATTATTATATTTTTTTAATAAAATATTAAATAATAATAACTTTTAATTTATTAGTTAAGTGCCATTAATATACTGTATATTAAATATATTATAAAAATAATATGAAAATTATTTAATATTTAAAATAATTTATTTAATTAATAATAATAATAAATTTAAGCATTTAATAATTTTAATTAAAATTATATATTTTTATATAAATATATTTATAAAATCATAATTTTTTTCATACATGTGTTGCCAATATATAATACAATTTGCAAAAAACTAGTCATTATTTAATTTTTAATTATATATCGTATAATAAACCATAATATTTATAATTTTATTATTAAATTATGATTTAATTAAAAAAATTAATCAATATTACAATAACAACAACAATATTATTATTATTATTAATATTTTTTAGACGTTATTAATAAAAATATTTCTATAAATTATTATTAATTTTTTTTGTCGGTTTCCGTATTTATGTGAATAATAACAAAAATTTTTATATAATTATAATAATAATTAAATAATAAATTAATTGTCTAATAATAATAATATTAAAATACTGTATATTCAGTTTATAAATAATAATTAATAGATAAATAATAATAAAACAATTTGTGAGACATCAAAAATCATATTTAAAAATTAAATTTTTTAAAAATTTTATATTTTCATAAAAAAGTTTTTCAAAGTTTATATATTTATAACTATAAAAAAATATTTTTGTTATTAATATTTCAATGATATTTTATTTTAATATATTATGATTGACATTAAAAAATTTAGTTTAAAATGTAATTTATTTATTCAATTAAAAATTTTTGTCAAAAATTTATTTTTATATATAAACAAAATAAACTAATAATTAAAAAAAGTTTGTGATAATACTTATCAGTGATAATTCAAAAAATAATTAATTAATTAATTTTGTTTAACATATTAATATATTAATAGATATTATAAAATTATTTGTTTGTTTATTTGATAATAATATCCAACAAATATTTGATAAACTATTATTTTTTTGATGGAAATAAATAAAACAAAAAAAATCTATTATTTAAAAAAAATAAATACAACTAATTAAATAAATATAAACTAAATATATAATTTTTTATATGCATATTAATAACCAATGATTTAATAATAATAATAATAATAATTTTCAACAACAAAAATAAAACTATGTATTCATTAATTAAACAATTTTATCATTGGTTTGATAACTGGCTATACTATTCAATACAGCATCCATATATTGATCCCTATATTTTAGACTACTGTCCCACTATCAACACTATCACCTGTGAACTAGTAGTTACCTATCCATGGCTATTGGCCATCACCATAATCATAATCATACCTTGGCTACTGTTTAACATACTATACCTGTCAATACTTGTACTGTATGTCTATCGGCACCGACAGGAGTTAGTCATATCCAGTGTCGACGGTGAAAGTGCCGGTAAAAGTCGGGGACAGTTGTTTGTGTCAATACTGATGATGCTATGGGACGCACACGGCTACTACTGGTACGGCTACGAAGTGGTCGGTTGGGATCGTATACCCCGAACAGGGCCGGCACTACTGGTCTACTATCACGGCTGTATAGCCATGGATTACATGCTATTGGTAACCAAAGTCCTGTTCGGGAAACATCGGGTCATTCATACAGTTAGCGACAATTTCTTGTTTATGATTCCCGGTTGCCGACAATTGATGGTCAAATTGCGGGCACTACAGGGCCGGCCCAACGAATGTATACGCCAACTAAATGCTGGCCATTTGTTGTCGATAGCACCGGGCGGTGTACGCGAAGGCCAGTTCGGCGACAATCGGTATCGACTCCTATGGAACAATCGCCAAGGGTTTGCACGGGTAGCCCGTGAAGCCCGGGTACCGATAATACCCCTGTTTACCCGTAATCTACGCGAATCGTTTCGATCGGTCAAATGGTGTCAACGGTTACTGCGGCCACTGTACGAGTGGTCGCGGCTACCGTTGGTACCGTTTTACGGCGGTTTTCCCGTCAAACTGACTACATATGTAGGCGAACCCATACCGTATGACTCCGGGGTCAGTGTCGACCAGTTAGCCCTACGGACTAAACGGGCGGTCGAGCGTCTGATTCGGGAAAATCAGAGAATTCCCGGCAATATTTGGGACGCAATTTGCGATCGGTTTTATTGAAATTGAAAATTTAAATTAAATAATAATAATAATTATTATTATTATTATAATTAGTAAAAAAAGTGTGACATTAATCATATTTCAAATAATTTATTTTTTTATTATTTATTAAATTATATCAATATTTTTATTTAAATACAAAAATTAAAAACAACAACAAAAATGTCACACAAAAAGTAAGAAAAACTTATTATAATAAAAAAATTAAAATACAGTATAATATTTTTGTTTTAATTAATTTTATTTAATTATAATTAAGGTTATTACTAAAGTAGTTATTACTAATTTTATTTATTGATTGTATTGTAAACTAATTTTTTTTTATAATACTGTAAAATTTTTTTAAATAATTTATTGAAATTAAATTAATATATTCAATAATATATGTAATAAGTGTTATATTTAATAAGTAATGTATTTTTTGTTGTTGTTGTTACTAATAATTTTTTAAAACTATATTTATAAATTACTTTTTTATACTGTTATTAAATTGTATAAATTTTTATTGATTATTAAAAAAAGTTTATTTAATAAAAATTAATAACAAAAATTTTTGCATTAATTATAATAAAATTAATAATAAAATTAATAATAATTATTTTATTATAGATTGCCTAAAAAAAGCCATTTAATTATAACTATTTATAATGTTTTAAATTTATATTAAAAATTTCAAATTATATTATAATGTTTTATAACTAATAATTCAAAATAGTTTAGTAAAAAAAAATTTAGTATATTTTAGTAAATATTTTTTAATCAAAAAAAAAACCTAATTAAAACAAAAATTATATTAAAAAAATAAAATAAAAATTAACCATGTAAATTATAGTTATTATTATTAAAATTGTTGTTATTAATATACTATTTTTTAAAAAAAATATCACACAATTTTCAATATTTCAAATTCATTGATTATTTTTTAGTAATATATTATATATATTCAATTCAATTCAATATAAATGATATGATAACACATAACACATCAATAACCTATTTGTATCAATCAATCAATCAATCAATTGATTATTATATCACTTTCAAAAACCTAACATATCATTGATTTAATTTAATTAATTAATTTTTTTCCTATCTATCTATYTATAATAATAAATAAACTATAATTTAAGATATAGATAATAAAAACTATAAATTTTTTGCTATTGTTTGCTTTTGTAGTTGTCTTTTTAGGTAGTGGTGGTGGTAGTGATGATGGACATCGATGTCTATTATCATCTCATCATTGTTGTTGTTGTTGTTGTTGTCGCCACCACTTGCCATCAATACCGTCCATCAGTAGATCCCGGTGTCTATCAATGATATATTGTTTGCTATTAACTAGTTTTACTAAAAAAACAAATTAGAGACAAACAATTGAATTAATAAAATAAAAAATAAATATTTTTTTTGGGGTCATTAATGTCCTTCAAAATCACTTACTGTCCAATTTGTCGGCAATAAACTCGAGTGCCAGTCCAGTGGTCAGATCCAGTGTAACAAACGGATCGACCATTGGTCGCATACCTGTCAGCCACAGTAGACCCGAGTTCAGGACAAACGGTATGTCACTCTGGTCGGTATGTTTGGCCTGACGGACTGTATGTACCCGTCGGTCATCCGTATTCTGGCCATCCTCGCCGATATATTGTTTCATCATTTTCAAATTTTGACCCTGAACCTGGAAGCGTTCCATATTGATAAATATCAGGGGTTTACTGCAAGCACCGGGACTTGGAGTCCACGGTTGCTGTAGCGGATACATCCAGGCGTCCAAACATACGCCCAATCGGATACTGTCCCGCAGGTCAT